TTGTACCAAAAAATATTTTAAACAAAAAAACTATTCACCAATTTTTAAAAAATTGGCATCGTTGTTTTCATTTAATATGCATATTTGTACACTTCGTATATAAACATTTGAGAAAATATACTTAAAATGACTTCTTATAAAAATTTTTTTCCAAAAAAATTACTAAATAATAATACAATTGAATACCGTATTTAAAGAAAATAAAAATAAGTAATAAAGTTTTAAGTCTTGTCTACCCACAGCCCTGTTAAAAATAAAGCAAAAGTATACGTAACATATGTATGTGTAAGGCATATAAAAATATAAAAACATCATGGTTTTTGATATTTTACATAACAGGTTATATATAAAAATTAAAGGTAATTTTCCGTTTTATATAAATAAAGTATTCAACTGTATTTTAATTAGTAATTTTTTTAGTTTAGAATATTTTTTATAAGAAAAAATTGGTATTCTTTTCTTTTAAGTATTCTTTCTTAAATTTTTATATACAAAGTGTACAAACATGCATATCAGAAGAAAGGAGTTTAATTGCCTTTACAACGATACCAACGTTTTAAAAATCGGTTAGTAATTTTTTTTAAATATTTTTTTTTTTAAAGGAATTTTTTCTTTTTAATATGGTTTCTAAAATTTTTATAAACAAAGTATATAAAACGGCATCTCAGAAGAAAGGGGATTTAATAACTACGATACCAATTTTTAAAAAATCTGTTAGTAATTTTTTTGTTTAAAATATTTTTTTTTTTTATAAAAAAAGGTATTTTTCCATTTAAATTGTGTTTTTCTAAAATTTTTATATTCGAAGTATACAAATATGCACATCAGAAGAAAGGGGGGTTAATCACCTTTACAACGATGTAAATTTTTAAAAAATTTGTTCAAAATTTCTTGAAATATAGGGAATTCAATTAATGTAAGTTTGCACAAAAAAAGTTATATACCATTTAAATAAGAGCAAAAGGAGGACTACGTCTATATTTTTAGGTTTTTAGTTATTTACATGCAATAATTAAATATAATTTTTTGCCAAAGGTCCTATATCGAACTTCGAATGCCCATATCTCGATTTCGGAGGCTAACTTCGAAAAACGGAGAAATCACTTTTTTACCTATGACTCAATCTCTTAAAAAAAATTGGTTTGGTCCAATGCCCAGAAAAAAAGTTGATCTTGCCGTACAGTGTAATGATCACCCTTTCGGAGTTTTCCATTTTTAAAATACCAATGCGCTGATTACTCTAGTGATGCGTTATGATAACTTTTCGGATGCGTTATGGAAAAGTGTAGGTACATTGTCAACATTTTGCATTTGGGACTACACAGTGCCTCCATTTATTGCTCTATTTCGAGTTCGGCGGTGTGTTTTGGTAGTTTGTGATTTATTTGCGACATCATGCATTGATACAATATTCCTATTATTAAATATATTAATTTTAAGGGTTTGCAACAATTATCATTCAAGGGCTTACTCCCACCATAACCGGAAAACATGAATTGATCACAGCTTTACTTCGATTGCAAAGTATGTGTTAACAAGTAATTTTTAAGCAAAAAACAAAACCGAGTTCAATTCTCATACAAAAAATATATATATACATATATATATATATTAGAGTGTCAGAATATTGTTATTTGTGATAAAAAAAGAGACACGTATTTTTTTATTTTGAAAAAAAAGTTTTCTTAGAACCCAGAAACCCACTGGAAACGTGCTTAACCCTTGACAATGTTTAAAACGTTCAGTATCAACGTTTTAATTTTAGTACTTTTTTTTTAATTTGATCGCCATATTGGATCCGCCATTTTGAATAAAAAAAAATGACTTCAGGTTCGTAATCGGCGACCACAAAAACTCTCGAGTGCCGGGTTTCGAACAAATCCAATCATTTTTTTAAAAAATGGACCGCCACTTTGGATCCGCCATTTTGAATTTCTTGACTTCAGATTCCTAATTAGCAACCCCAGAAACCCCCTGGTAACAAATTCCAACCCATGACAATGTGTAAATCGTTCAGTATCAACGTTTTAATTTTACTTGTGTCTTTTCGAGAGCATATTTTCGGGAACTAGACCCATTCTAATTGTCCAAGACAGGTGTGTAATTAATTAAGGGAAAGTTCCCCAATAATATCAGAGTAATTATATGTAAAAACCACATTTTTGGCTGCATTTTAACATGTCAAGAAAAAAAAAAAAAAATGAGAACATAAGCGTTTTTATAAAACACCGACCAGCGCGACCTCTAAGAAAACTTTTTTTTCAAAATAATGCAATGCAAAAAGAATTGTCCAAATCGGTTGACCTGGTCCAAAGTTATGCGGTAACATACATAAAAAAAATAAAAAATATTCCGACGAACTGATAACCTCCTCCTTTTTTGGAAGTCGGTTAAAAAAACTTAGCCGTTGTGGTGCTTGTTGTTCTCACATCTTAATGAAAAGTTATGCTTCTTCTCCCTGCCACCGCTATCATTTTTCTCTGCTATAAATACTAAGCCTTTAAATATATTTTAACTTAATATTTTATTAAAATTACCTCTACAAACATCTTCATTGCTAGCATCCATTTTTTTTTGCTTTTACATTGGCATTTCCGCTTTTACATTGGCATTTTGCGCTTCTTCGCAAAAATAGTCGATAAACCTAGGTTGGACACCGCAAAGTTATCGTTTTAATCTGAGATTATTTTATAATTACAGATTAACTACGGACGAATGTTGTATGGCTAATCTCTTTTTCTAATTACAGATTAGGGAGTTAACGAAAATGAGGATAAACTACTTATATGTAAACGTAGTATAAGTGGGCACAGCTTTCGACTGCCATTCACCTGGGAGTGAGAAGAAGTGGTTCTGTTGCGTACAGTTCAAATCGAAACTCACGATATTTATATCTGTGTATCCTGGGAGCGAGCGAAAGTGAGTAAAACCTTGCGTGGGCTGGGTTCGAGACCCGACAATGAAAAAGAAAAACATGCCTCTTTTGATGACAACCACACTAAACTAAAAGTACAATGGTTTTTTCAACCAAGTTATGGTTTGGTTTTGTCATGGTTAATAAGTCGATTTTAAGAAAAGTGATTAAAGTTGAACGTTTTAAAACCAATTCATATGCCGTGCTGTGGCTAAGCGTACAGAGTTGCTTGCTGTTACATGTTCGCTTCCAGCAGGTTCGAGTACGAATGCCGCGCCAACGCATACATTTTTTCTGTTTTTGGTGTTTCCTAATTACGAAAAAGCATCTGTGAAGTTCAGAACCAAATTAAACGACGAAGAAAATTGATTCAAATTGAACATTTAAGGACAAATTTATAAAGCGGCTGTAGCCGAGTGTGTAGGGATGCTTGCTGTTATTTGCTAATGCCGTCAGAGGCAGCGTATTAAAATAATTAAACAATTTTTTTGTTTTGTATCTCCGAATTATGAAAAGGCATCTGTGAAGTCCTTTCAAGTTTGAATTTGGTAATATTAACCAATTTTTGGTTGATTTTTCTTTATTTATGATTTGAGTGTATGTACTAGACATGAGTAGCACTGCAGGAGTTACCACGCTATTATTTCCTGATAATTTGGAACAAGTGTTAGTCTAATAAATGGAGAAAAGTGTAAATAACATTTTTTCAGTAAAAAAAAGCAAAATATTGCTCAAAATCCATAAATGTGATCGAAATAGTTTGCAAATGGTTATATTGTGTCTTGCTATATGTTTGTTTACCAGATCCAGTTTTCGTTGAAAATTCAACGATATATTTGGACTTTCAGAGGATAATTTGGTAAAAAACCCCTACTTTGTAGGCAAAGTTTTGATTTGAAAATTTTGTATAGGGCCTTGAGCAAACTCGGCAAAACGGTTAACACCACTGAATTCAGCGTACCAAAATGATCTAGAAATGACCTATCTCTCGTCTGTCGGATTTTAAAAAAATGTTCAACGATTTTCTTAGTAAGGCTGTAAGCAATGTCTTTACCAAGTTGGTTTTGGGTTGGTAAAGCAGCTGAGATACAGTACTTCATCCCAAGTGGACGATGCCACGCCCATTTTCGCCATGTAGAAATTACTGCAAGCGAAATTTTTACCGAATGTTATCTAATTATCTATATAACTACATAAATTGATAGCCATTTTCGTTGTTCTGCGAGATGAGCAAAAAAAATAAAAGGTTGTAAAATTAGGTAATGGTAGGGCCAGTGCAGGTAAACGTAATACTTTCATTGATAATTGATACTAGTCGCACAATTTTTAAAGCAGGTATCGACAATGTGCAGGTATGTTGAATGCAGTTTCCTTGTAAATGTTAAAAATAATGCTTTTGATGCGCATTTTGGGGTAGGTATCTTAAATGTGCACTTAAGCATAGAGGCAGCAAAGCAAAATATACTGTATAAGGGGTATTTTGGTATGAGGAATCCATTTCTATAATTATCATCATAAAACTTCCATCAGACGGCGCAACAGTGAACATTTTCACATTTTCTTAGAAACCTATTTTTGCAATTAGGCACACTCCAAATTTAAGACCCACGGTTTTTTCGGAAAATTTGCTAAAAATTACGTTGAATCCTCTTCACGCACAGTCAAAAAAATTAAACCGCCCTAATGTGCATATAATATCTGAGCGTGGAATCCCGGTACAAACATACACCCACAAATACGTACATATATACATATTTACTTACATATATTTTTGTATACACCTCACAGTTATCAAGATGATTTGATAAACTGTAAACGTGAATCAGCACAAAACTACTGATAACGTTTCGTGGCGGTCTTCGTGAGATTACGAATAATTCGTACGAACGAAACGAATGTACTGTCACAGTGCCCTTATTGGACGTGCGTACGCTCCCTCGTATACATACAAACATATGTACATATATGCATGTATAATATAGCCCCTACACCCAGAGTGACTTAGCAAAAATTTACCAAAAAAAAAATTAAGGTTTCTCTTTTATCGTTGCCATGTTGAGCACGCAAACAACTCAGAATCAGTCAAATTTTGAACGCAAAAGCATACGGTTGTGTTTATATATAAACGTTAAATAAATCTAAATCTCGTTTAGTGGAGAAACCGGAAAACTAAATAAAAGAAGCACAACAAACATAAATAGTTTTTAGTAAAAAATTATGGCACATAATGTGGAAGAAAACACATTCAACTTATATGCAAAGAATGTTGTTTATATTGGGGGTTTCGGTGGCATCGGCGTAGAAACTTGCAAGCAATTGCTGCAGAAGGGTGTTGCGGTAGGCTTTATTTGTGGAAATTTCACTGAAGAAAAGTGTTTCTCAATAAAACAAATTTTCTTTTTTTCCAAAACGTACATACATCAATAGAATTTGATGATACTCGATAAAACGTGGAATGAATCAGCCCACAAAGAGCTTAATGCGGTCGACACGCAACGCGTATTTCAATTCATGGAGTTTGACATCACCTGCGGTTTGGATAAAACACGCCAAGTGTTCGCACGAATAATGGAAAAATTCGGTTACATTGATGTGCTAATTAATGGCGCGGGTATATGCGATGAGCAAGACTACGATCTGATCATTGCCGTAAATTTCACGGGTACAATTAATGCAACACTTGTCGCCTATGACCTAATGGATAGGAGTAGAGATGGTCAGGGCGGAGTGGTAGTGAATATATCGTCGGTAGCTGCGTTGACGCCATTCCCCGTCTTGCCTATTTACAGTGGGACCAAAGGAGGAGTTCTTAGTTTTACCAGAGCGCTATCGGTAGGTATGCATACATACATCCATACATGCTACAGATGTACATACATATATGAACTGCATGAGCTGTGAATATTTGTGTGTACATATACATATGTATGTGTATGCATGGCTGACTTCCAAAACGTCAATTGGTAACCATTGGTATTTAAAAAATGGAAAATTCAGATAATTTTTGCTATATTGAATATTTATTTAAAACATGCAATGTATATGGTTGTAATGTGTCGCAACTCTGCATATACAAACAATTTTAATACCGCGGTATAACAGTATCCAAACATTATATTGATACGTTTTGGAAGTCAGCCTATATACGAATTTATGATGCAGTCGCTGCGACATTGTTAGCACGTGATTAGTATTACTTAATAAGCTCAAATTGTACTTGTGTGAAAACTATTGGAAAGTATAAATTCGGAGAGACTACATCAGTGATTCCCAAAGTGGTCCCAGTGGACCCCCAGGGTCTCGACGGAGTCTACGTTGGTGTGAAAAAGTATGGGGGTCAATGAGTTGTAATTGGGGGTTTACGAAAATTTATCTGGTTTCGATAGTAAAGAACCAAAATGGTTGCTTGATAGCCTCTTTATTTAACTTTAATTGTTTTTTAGTGGTGATGGTGGTAATGTTCCTGACGCACTGCTGCACTTACCGTTACTTTGTGTTTTCATACGTGCCACCTGCAGACTAAAAAAAAAACGAATGTAGGTATAACACTGAGTGGGACGCGGCGGAAATTGCTGGCGGCAGAGATTTAAGCACTTGTGTATTTTCAATGCTACTATACGCCACAATTACCTTTGTTGAAGAGATTCTATAATTTTGAGGCCCCTACGACTGAATGCTGGTTTAATTCTATCACTGAGACCGGACACATTGTCGAATCTTCACTGATGGCTCCAAAACTGATCTGGGGTCTTTTTCGAAGTAAATGGGGATAAATGCATCCCCACACCTATGCAATTTTGTCTGAACGATTCCGCTCCGTTTTTGATGCTACAGACGTTACTGCTTCGAAAACGCAAGTACGCACACATCTGTGCGATTTTATCGCAGCAAAAACTGTCAATTTATAGACAAACAAAAAGTCTTTTTCAACAAAAATAAAATTCTTAACTTTTCTACATCAACTATGTTTTGTTTGGCCAACCCTCTAACTATATACTTCCAAACTAGTTCGGCAATGCAAGTCTCGACTAAATTGTGGTGGTAAACATAACGAGCTTGCTTTATTCTGGGTGCCAGGTCACTAAGGAGTATATGGTAATGAGACATCTGACCATTTGGCCTGAATTGGTTCAGACCAGGCATTCCTCGGTCCGCAACTAGTTTTAGCACACCAACTTTCGGCCATCGAAGCAACCAGCAGAAACTGGGTGAATACTTCGCGACGGCGCTGCAGACAACTTGTTGTTGTTGTTGTTCACGTGGCACAAACACCTGACTGTGATAGGCTTAAATGACAAGTCCATTTCCCCATCCTGCCTTGAAGAGAATGAGACGGTGGAACACTTTTTGTGCTTCTTGCTTGCTTGGTTGTTTGTCATCGATTTTTCTAGACTCGTTATTTTCTCTATTGTGAGTTTCTGAATTAAAAGTTTGGCGTAAAAAGCTTAGCCGTTTTGTTGTTTTAAGTTTTATATTTTAACACTGGGAGAAAAATGAACCAAAAATTGGTTAATATTACCAAATTCAAACTTGAAAAGGAATCAACGTGATTTTTGGTTAATATTAACAATGCCTTGGTTGATATATTCAACAATGATCTGGTAATATTAACTACAATTTTGTTTACATTAACCGAACTATTGGTTGGCGATTTTTCGTTTGAATAAGATATGTTCTGCACTTCACAGATGCTTTTTCATAATTCGGAGATACAAAACAAAAGTTTTTATTATCATTTTAACATGTTGCCTCTGACGGGATTACCAAATAACAGCAAGCATCTCTACACACTCGGCTACAGCCGCTTTATAAATGTGTCTTCAAATGTGCAACTTAAATAAATTTTCTTCGCCGTTTGATTTGGTTCTGCACTTCACAGAGGTTTCTTCGTAATTAAGAAAAACCAAGAACAGAAAAAAAAAAAGAAATTATGTATCGCGCTCACGGCACTGGTAACAGCAAGCACCTCTGCACGTTCAACCTCTGCCATACATACGAATTTGTTCTCAAATGTTCAGCCTGAATCACATTTCTTGCAATCGTCTTATTGACCATGAAAAATTCAAACCCTAACTTGGCTGAAAAACCATTGTGCTTTTGGCTCAGTGAAAAGTGTGAGTGATAATAATTTTTTGCCTCACTTTTAAACTCCGTGCGATAAAAATAAAAATGATGCCATCAACATAAATAAACTATTTTACAAATAATCCACGTGCAAAGTCATGAGTGGGCCGAACATTTGATGAGTTTATGGTGAAGATAATGAAAATAACGCTAGGGCTCGAAGTGCTCTTAAAAGATATATAACTCTTAGAGCGAGAGAGTATTTTTATGGATTTACGAGCTCTATTTTTTAAAACCTGCAAGTGTGTAATTACACTATTTTAATAAATAGAAAGAAAATATGCAATGCAAATTTACGTAGTTAGATCCAATCTTAACATTTAATTTTTTACGAGCTTTCGGGAGTATTTAGAAATGTATCAGCAGGGGAGAAAAAAAGTTTGGGAACCTCTGGACTAGGCGCTTATGTACAATAAAAAATTGGGAGAGAAACAAGTTAAAAAACCGGTCTAATCGCCAAATTTATTTAGGCAATGCCTTTGTGATTGTTTATATACATGTTTATTTATGTAGATATAAGTATATGTATATAAGTATTTATGTATGCATACATTACATACATATTATATCGAAGGCTTATTATATTCAATACCCTCTATTTGCGATTTTCACAAAACTACTTTGTGATATAAGAAACCCATCTGAGCCTTAACTCTGTCATCACTTATGTTAATTCTGGCTTTGAAATTTAATAGAAAATTCTTCTCTCAAGCGTTATACAAGGACAGCATTAATATCATAGTTGACAGTTAAGTCTTAGGTGGATTTTTATATCAGAATCACATTTTTGTGAAAAGTGCTGATAGAGGGTATTGAATATGCGCCCTCGATATACTAATTTTTGTAAATGATAAAATGCTATGTTGCTAACAACATTCAGCGGTCCGAAAATTTCCGCATAAGCAAAACACGTTTTCTAAAGACTTCTTTATTTGTAGCCCGATTTCAAAAAGTGATATATCGTTGGGAAGTTAATTTTCGAGTAGTATACATCGGTTGATAATAATATTGACGTAAGTTACTTTCCTCGGTAACTAATTTAAATTTCCTTAGATTCGGCCGACTTAATGGGCCTTATGAATAGAAACTAAGAAATTGCTTTTTCTTAAAATTTCAGACCGTTTACTTAAATTAATTTGAATAATTCGAGTAAAAGGTTTGACATTTTATGAAAACGCAATTGGTTTATTTTTATTCATAAGGACCAATAAGTTTTAGGCACCATAAAGTTGAAAAATTTGCGAAGTAGTGAATGGTCTTAAAGAAATCTACAGTTCTCCGCAATACCTTTTCATTGATTTACAATGCCATAACTACTATGTAGGTCTGATGAATAAACTTTGTTTCTTTTGTTTGTGGACCGACCGAAATCAAGTAGAAGTCACTATATAATTTTCTTCGTGTATTCGTAATTTGTATCCCTTAGCCTAGGAACTTTTCACAGAGACAATCTTGTTTTTTCTATAGGTCATATGTGACTCTGTGGGTCAAATGCAAATAAGTCGACAGAAAATTCCTATTACCCATTTGAAAAAAAATTATGAAAGCACAATTGCAAAATGGCAAACATGTAATGCTTATATTACATTTACATTGAGCCCAAATGCGTCATTTGGGCGAGAAACCTCAAATGCGAGGCCAAATCACGCATTTCTCCATACAAATTCACATTTCCAGAATGACGCATTTCGACGCATTTACACAAAATCACGAACAAATGCGTTCCAATTGCCGTACTATTTTATTGAACGCACTCAGAAACAAAAGTTCCACAAAAGCTTTGGTTTGTCTTTGAAGTCAAAGCAAATGCGGATCAAGCAGTGTAAACACCTTCAAATGACTGATTTCAAATCACGCATTTTGGTCCAATGTAAATGTAATATTATTCATGTTTCTTTACTACCAGCGTTACCGTTTTGGTATTTTTTTCTCTAAGATTATAGTATATAATATTTTAATTTATTTATAAAATTTGGTAATTTTTTCGGTTTGGTAACTTTTTCGTTTCGTTTATTAAATATAATAAATCCTACATTCACATAGGTAAAACAGGGCCATGCTGATTCTACAAAAGAAAGTTGGCCGTAAAAAATTTCACAGAGAAGGAAATTTCTTTTCTGTTTAAACTTAAGAGCAACTATGTGCGTTTCCTGATATAGAAATAGTTGGTAACCCTGTGAAATTTGTTCCAGCGTTCATTGGCTACTAGAATATTGTGATCTCTAACAAAATGTTCAAAAGTGGCAATTGCTATACCAACCGTGTCCTTTTCCGAGGATTTCCTTATAATGGTACCCATAAAAATGGAATTCGAAGGGCTTCAGGGCCGTTGGAGTAGCCCCATAAAAAGTCGAATAGTGCCAAGCCAGACGATTTCGGCGGCCAAATGACGTCGCATATACGGGAATTATTCACGACACTGCCTCGATCGGTTTGTGGCCTGACCCTTCTACGGATATGCCATGAGACAGTCCCAATTTCTGAGAACAATGAGCAATCGGAAAATTTGTTTCTTCGGTCGCACTTTAGTTTTATGTTCAGACCAAGAATTTACGGTGTTGTGGCTAACTGAATAGACCTGTGAAAGTATGAAGAGCGCTGTTTGCCCGCAAAACTTGGTGTGAGCTTTATGATATCTGATTGCTCAAAGCGTCTTCGGGTACAGTTATGTGTTTATGTATGTATGCATAGGTTCTGTACATAGAATTAGTT